GTTTATTGTACATTTATATTTTTTAAGTATATTTTTACAAGATATATTTTTAATAGACGATGGATTCCATTTTATCCCATTTTCTTCATCATTTCGCTATCTATATGAGCACAAAGTCAAAGTTTCTCTTCTCATTCCGTCATGCGAACTTTGATCTCTCGAGATATACATTGTTTTTCGTATCTCCTCGACATATTTATATTATAAACTGTTCTGTTTTACAATATAATTCTAAATTACGTTCAGTGAGAGTTCCGACCCTGTCTGCAGACTCACATTTATCCAATGGCTGCGAAGAGTTCTTAAGACAGCAGCAGTGTTAGATATTTTTAATCAATTATTTCTAATGTTGCCGACTTAGGAACATCCCCTGAATATAGGGAGAAATCAATAAAATGGGGAAATTTTGGAAGAGAAATAGTTTAGAGAAAATATAAAGTCTGCTCACATTGGTTAGTGGAGTTTCGGTGACGAATAGGAGCATCCAAACGTCACACGAATCATAGTTGTTCGCGAGATCTAGAGTTGGTCGCTCCACTACATGATGCTTTTGCTCAAATGTGTCCACACTGTCTGCACCCTAAAGTGAAAATTTATTTATCTGGATTGTCATTAGACATATTTTTTATATGCATTTCTTCTGGAGCAAATTTATTTAGGTGGAATTTGCTTAACGTTTTGGGGAAAATTCTATTACTTTTAAAAGAATTTCAAGTTGTTTACGAGTCTTTACGACTGAAGGTTGGTTACCTGCTGATTGCATATATTAGTCATGACTAAAGACAAATTTAATTTTATATTTTTCTAGATGATTGATTACTCATGAATAATTTAATGTAAGAATTGATTTATCCATTAGTCATAATTGATACACGCAACGGCTGTCTAATTTCGTATCTGTAAAATTATATTTAAGTAAGAAAAACGCCTCAGCTATTGTTTCTTACTTCCTCGAAAAAAAGGTATTTTTTCTATTACTAAATTTGTATACCTTTTCGTGAAGAATTGTGGGAAAAAGATAAAAGTAAGTTTAGTTTTATTCGTATACGTCAACGCGACTCATGGCAATAAACGAAATAGGAAATGCCTACAGAGTGGTGTTTCTATGAGTAAGTGGCTCTTGTTTAGATGATACAATTGTGAAGTAAACCCGAAACGCTCCGCGTGGCCAGCCCATTAACAACGCGCTAACCCTCGACACGATTTTTGAAATTAACTCTATTTTTAACTCTATAACATGATTATAAGGGAACAAGATGTTTTCGTGAAATACATATAATTTAACACGTAAATAAATACCAGTTTTCTATAAAAAGTTCTCTTGTAAGGCATTTTCTTGGCAGAAGGCGTTTTCTTAGCTCATGTCTTCAATGACAATATCGCAGGAAAATGCTTCCTTACATACTTTAATAGAGAAACTGGAAACTATTTAAAAACTTTACGAATGATTTCTTTGCGAAAACAATAGTTTTAACAATAAATAGAATTACAATCTGCAAAACAATTCATTGATACAAAACTCACACACAAGTATCCTTTGATTGACACTATTATTTAATTCCTCGATGCTATCGTGTATTCTCGTTAATCGAATAAAGTGATACCTCGGTACTCAACCGAACCATAAACACCCTATAGAACAAATTTTTAGTTAATAAATATAAACACAGAATATATTGTTTTATTTTGTACGATAACAAAATTACTACTCCAATATACTCAATTTTCTTTTTATACGTGTTTTTACAATGAAATAGAGATTTCATTGTAAAAGTAAATAATATTTGCTTTATTTAGAGAAAATTGCTTTACTTTCCTGGCATATTCCAGAATTTTACTCTTTTGGAATCAGGGGACCTGTAAACATCAGCAAATGCAAAATCATTCGGGTTTTCTTTTCTGCGTGCATGTGTATGTAGGACACGATTTTGTTCACCCCCTTTGAAGCTTAATAACTACTGTTCTTTTTATCGTAAACTTCTGAAACCTCGCAAGAAAGTTTCTATATTAGGCGAATAAATTTTGGTGAGTGAAGTTCCAGCGTATGGAAAGATAATGAAAATTAAACTTAATGATGATTTTACTGGTTATTACCATTTACAAATTTTATAAAATAATAGTGTACAGGCCTAATATATAATAGTTTTTAAATACTTAAAAATATGAAAAGATTTCATTCTTTATAAAATATCATAAGAGATGGTGATACCTAACGTTGCCGAAGAAGTTAAGCAAGTCGTTGCTGGATTTTTTTAATAGGCAGGACACTATTATCAGATTGATTATATGACAACTAAACACATAGACAATCTGTCAGCGGTATGTCTATCTGCAGCACATTCTACGTTGGCAAGTACTTACGTTTTTCTACGAGTAATTTCTTTATTAAAACCATGCATAGAATTATAAATTGAAAAATAATTCGTTGTTATAGAATCANAGCGACGTGCAAGATGCAGATGCAGTTTTTTCGTTTTTGTGGGAAATCGAACATATTTTTAGACCCATCTAAAAATTCTCTAATTAGTCCAGAAACAGGAGGACCCAATTCTTGCATTCTGTGAAAACAGGTAAGGTTGACTATAACGTAATAATCTTAATCTTCACTATCATTACTTTTGCCCAAGCAACGCCGGGCCTACCTGCTAGTTATATATAATTTTTAGTTCTTGAATAAATTTATAGTGAAATTAATACATTTTAAAATGTTTACAATGTATTAGTTTCAAATTTTAAGACATTTTCTAAACATATCTGAACCTTGAGATTTGTAGAAAATTGTAAGATATATCATAATCTTTTGTATTTTATGAAAGGATAAGTAGTTATAATCTATTCAACATAGAATGGTGCCAATCTACTGTTGTAATTTATACTAATAACAGATGAAGATTAGAACAAATTGTTTTTGTAAATATGCATGCATTATAACAATGAAATAATGAATCTGCAATTTATTTAATTCAGATTAATCTATCTAGTCTGTGAAACTGTAGTAATTACTTATTAACTCCTTAAATAGTTTATAATTTATAATACATTAGACCCCTATAACACGGGTTCATATAATATGGATTCGTATAACACGGCAAAAAAAAACTGCGATCGTATTTTTATAAAATAATAGTTTATAATTTATAATACAGTAGACCCCTATAACACGGGTTCATATAATATGGATTCGTATAACACGGCAAAAAAAACTGCGATCGTGTTGGTATAAACACGCTAAAAGAAAATCGTATAATACGGTAAAACGTCATCGCCGACTCGTGTCGCCACAGGATTGGTCGAATCTAGACCAATAGCAAATAGTGAACAAATCGTTGAGTTTAAACGAGCAGCGGACCTACTAAAACCATTTATTATTTAACGGCCATAGAAAAAATATTTATATTAATGATGTTTCCAAAGTTCAGCGAATTTTTCGCAGAAAAATAACCTATTAGGAAACACGCGCACGCTGTTCGATGAGCCACTCTGCGACGAAAACAAACTTAAGCATTGGCGTCGTCGAACGGTTCACACTCGGTAAGTAATCCTACAATTTTTTGTTTATAGCATAGTTTATATGGATTATTCTCCAAAAAATTATATGTGTTTTGGAAATGTTGAGTCGAATTAGTCTGGAATCGATTAATTTAATGGAAGAAAATTTTTCAAATAGCCGTAGTCCCTAAACTGCACACGTGCAGGGCTGTGATTGGCTCATATATTTAAGTGACTCGTAAAACACTAATTTATATAAAACGGAACGTACGTACCACCGTGTTATAGAGGGCCTACTGTAGTTCGTTTTTTAAATAGTTAAAAATATGAAAAAATTTANTGTAGTAATCTTGGAAATTTTCATTTAAAATAGCACTGTTACTTCTTACAGCAATAACAATGCTATTTTAAATGTAATCTATATATATAAAATTGCTTGTCCTGACTGACTCATTCACTCACCGATTCATCATCGCCCAGAGTAAACCGCTGAACCTAAATAATAATTTGGATAATTTCCATTAATTAGAAAAAAATTGTGTAGTAATCTTGGAAATTTTCATTTAAAATAGCACTGTTACTTCTTACAGCAATAACAATGCTATTTTAAATGTAATCTATATATATAAAATTGCTTGTCCTGACTGACTCATTCACTCACCGATTCATCATCGCCCAGAGTAAACCGCTGAACCTAAAGAGGTGAAATTTGGTACAAAGTTAGGGTACATCACGAAAACGCTCACTAAGAAGGGATTTTTTGAAATTCCTCTGCAGGGAGGAGAGGGAGAGCATTAAGGCTTAACCGGAAAAACGGCTTCTACTGTACTATTTTACATGCAATTTTTTGTTACGTTTAGTCTTCATTAAGTACTTAAGTGTATTAAATTAATAACATTTCAGACATTGTTATAAATATTTTTATATATTTCGATTTTTTAACCAAATGTTCGAACCTTTTTAAATTCAAATTTGTTATTGCGTATCAGTTCAATTATAGAACAATTGTAAATGTTCCAGAAAATTGATCAAATTGAAAATAGTTTATTTGATTCTCAGCAATTCTCATCATTCTCAGCAGTAGGTGTTATATAACAATTACTATGGTTGTTGAAATACTGAATATAAATGGGGTTTACTTGCAAAACGTCTGCAGGTAAAGTCGCGGGTAACAGCTAGTTCAGTTTATAATATGCTTTCAAAAATTGAAAATGAAGCCAAGAATTCTGTTACAAATTTATTTTATCTAGAAGTTTATTAATTTCAAACTGTAATAATCAATAAATCTTAATGTTTTGCAATAGAAAAAATATTAGTTTTATCTTATTAACTACACACTGAGTTATACACTAATAAAATTATTTCAGTGAATAACAATTTAATCCTTGTTAAGTCATTCATTGTTGTGAACAAAATTTATATTTTTTAATATTAAAAATACTTAGAAAACCTGATTATTTAATTAATTTATTTGTAAATAAAGAGGCTGAGAAGGGTCATCAAGTATATAACATGTAAATGCATATTTATATTGAACTGCTACTACTGACCTGATTATAAATATCATCAGAACGAAGTCTTCCAATAACCATGCTAATGAACAAAGGTTTCATAGGAACTCTCCTTTAAAAAGAAATTATGATAATATATATAAATATATTTTAAGTATTAAAATGAATAATACAGCAAGTTTTATTAAATTAATTTACAATAATTTTAAGCTAAAAGGCCAGTTCATACTTTGCGCAAATGAAAAAAGAGAATATAACAGTTTGCATCTTAACTGATGCAATCAAACGCATGTCTTGAAAGCATACCAGAGTTGTACTCTTCTTTTTTAAAAATGTTACCCTGGTTAATTGGCTCGGATTAATTGGGATAAGGCAACACAACATATGGGTAATTTACCAGGGGAAGAAGCCTCCAGGGCAATTTTCATGGAAAGTTGGCCCTATTTAAGTGTTAGACAAGTGAAGAAAATCTAGAAAACTCCTCAACCAATTAAGAATGTTTCAGTGCAAGAGCAACAGCATTAAATTTTCTAGGGGCAAAGCTTGAAGAGAAATAATTACATCAATAATTTTTTATTTAATTGCAATAATTATTTAATTTAATATAAACCCTAAAGCGAATTTTTTATACTTCAATAAAGGTCCATTTAAAATTTTGTTTACTTTCACGTAAACAAATTATTTGATAAAGATTATATCTTAAAATATGCTTACTTGAAATATTCCTCAGGATAATTTTGTGGTCTTTTTGTCATGGAATTATAACCAGTACTTCTTAACAATCGGCAAACATCATCGACATTTGAATCTGAAGACCTCTGAGCACTGAAAAATTTTAAATTAGACAAGTTATTGAAAATGTTACTTGTTTTTATGACAAATTTTCATCAAAATCTACAAAAAAATTTACCTGTATCTATAATAAGAGACAAGCATCCTTTCTCTAACAACACCTGCTATTTTTTGATCAACTAAAAGTAGCATCACACCACATAAGAACAATGCTTCACACTAAGTAGAAAGAAAATAAATAAATTCTAATTTTATAAATTATGTAATAAATATTTAATAATGGAAAAAATTTTATTCAAAGTATTTGATTATTAAATAAATAACCAATATAAATTTTATAAATAAATAAGTTATCATCATTTAATTTTTAAACATTGTTACTTCTAACAAAATAATAATAAAAAATATACCATATTTATTTTAAATACACAGTGCACTGTCTATAATTTTTTCAGCCCACTACTACACTGTTTATTAGAGAGTACATACTATTAAAAATGTTTCTATTATTTCTGTTCTTTTGGAATTGAGTGTGTTTGTTATGGCAATGCAACACTTGGTCAATCTGCCTAGGAAGTGCCTTCCGGGAGGTCTTTTTAAGGGAAACTGGCCCCTATTTAGGCATTACAGACGTGGAGGATGGAAAACTCCACTGGCCAGCTCGTCTGAGCGAGGTGCAATCCCACAACTGAACTCCCAGTGTTCAGGGTACGAAGACTGCTTGGCCACTGGTGGGCACTGGAATTGAGTGTGACTATTGATCAAGGGAAACTGTTAATGAAACAAATCCAATAACTTTTTTCACTTTATTACTGTTATTTGAGCAACAATGCAACACTCAATACATTCAAATGTTATTTCAACATATGATAAGAGTAATAACACTGAATAGACTAAAAATTGCAGTACAAAATACACCTTATCTTCTTCTAATAGACATTCTGCTTACTATTACAGGACATGATCTATAACTTATTTCACCTTGCAGCTGTATTATTTATTGGAATAAATTGGGAATATTTAAATGTAAACCAAATAAAAATTCTAAAATCTTCAAAATCAATATGTATGCAATATATGAAATTCATTACTGAGTATTCTCTAAAATAAATATAAGGACAAAGTTATATAATTGATATAAACCATAAGATTATATAGCATTAAATAATACAGTACTTGACTGATAGATCAATGCAAAGCAAAAATGTATTAAGGCTGTATAGCAAACCACAATTATCCCTAATATAGGCACCACTGATTCATAATGGAGTTAAGTAACAGATGAATGTTTTCCCGATTCATACTGCCCATGTGAAGGAGTCAGGATTATAAGGAATCTGGAGTAGGTTGAAATAAGAATCTCCCATGACAGTAAGCTTATAATATGGCTTGTCATATAAATTAAGTCTGCTGCCGTTATAAAATTAATGTTTTGCATTTTTTTTTATTACAATTAATCATTAAAACAGCTAAAGTTATGCTTACAAATCATCTAACTTATAACTTTAATGTACAAACAACAAACTTTAGTTATCAAAATTGTTTTCTCTGTATATCAAAACTTTTTCTCCCATATGTTGCATATTATAGAGAAATTGTAAATTTAAAAACTGGTGTTTTGTAAATTTTTCAGATAATGATAAAATACACAAATAAGAAACATGAAAGGAATTAAGTATTTAATTATCCTTTCACTACATATATTGTACAGTTTTGCACAATAAGCATAACAAATCAGTTCAGTAAACACATATCCCTTGCTTAATGTAGTTTTGTTTCACATAGGATTTGATTAATGCGTGAAATTAATTGCAGCAATCCCTTCATATGTGTGGCAGAAGTTTTAATTTACACAGCTTTATCAGCTGTCTTTACTTAGCATAGATACTGTATTTTGAATAATATGGTAGGATCGAGGGATGAATTAACCTCATTAATCAAGGGATACCTGTATAAATAAATAAGTATCGTTACAACAACAATTAAAAAAAAAACTAGTTACCATTAATTGCTTGCCATCTTCATCAAGAAGCACATTTTCAAGTGTTTGTTGGATATAAATTCCTTCATCTAAATCTTCTAGAAATCTAAAGATTAATTTTTCAGTTTATTAAAGTAAAATATAAACAATTCTACCTCCATAAATTATAAATTTAACAACTCAAAAACACACACCTATTAAGATCGACTGTATATTTATGAATACTTTCAAATGCAAGGTAAAATCTAGTCAAAATTTCAATATGATTCTCTCTGAACTCTTCGTCTCGATCTTGCAATTGCTACAATCATCAAATGAAACAAAATATTAATATTTATTGCATTTAAAATTATAAAATTTGCTAAATAACGATAATACTCAACAGGATTAGATTCAATTCCTTTCTCGAAAACATCGGCCGTTTTGAAATAACTGAAATCGCTAAGTACGTCTCCGTATTTTGCCTGATCCTGTTTGCTCTCGAGTCTAAACACCGAAGGGACCACTTCGGAAAGGCGTAATAACTCGGCTATTATGGCATTTCCTCTAGAAACTAATCTCAACAGATTCTGTCCGCAGACATTATTGTCTGCCAAAAAGTCAACCATCTTTAATTCTGTAAAAGAAAGAGGAAAAAAAAAAAAACACATTTTTTATAAATAAATATCCTACAAATTATTATTTCCTGATTTCAATAGCGAAACTATCTCCGACAAAAACCATTAAGCATCCTGATAGGGTTGTAGTGTATCATAATACAAAAATACTGACCATATCACGTTGTCACCTTAAATGGATGCCATATTTTATCTAACTATTGACCTAGTTAAGATATTAAGTAATGATTAAAACAATCTTTCTTCTAATTAAACAGAATAATTGCATTTTAATACTATGAGAAGCGGCACATTTGCTCGCTTCTCAAAGTATCGCCACAAACCATTGATGCTCCACAAATCACACTTTAAGAATCGACATGTAGCCTCATTAAGATGTCAATAATGCTAAGGCTAAATGCATATGTTAAGGTTAATGTTTAACATTTAATATGTCCCATACAAAACATGTTGGAGACAGGAAATTCATGCTTATATAGCATTTTTACTTAATAAAAGTAAACATTTTGTAAAACCTGATTGTTTATTAATAAATAATTTTAATTACAGGCTAAAATTTCAGTCAAAAGCAGGTTTTTTTTGGCCAGAAAAGCAATCATTTGTAACTCTTGAAAAAAAAATTGCTATTTAGAAATAAATATACAATAAAATTTGATTTTTTACTCATTTAAAACACTATAACCGAATAAAATATTTATAAAAGGCTAAAATTACAAATTTACACACACTTTAAGTATTGAGTGTAAGTGTATCATGCAGCTGTTAACTTTAAGTAAATGCTCCACTATTAGTAAATACAACATTTAACTAAACGTAACAGCTACTGTTGTCACATTTCATCATTACAGCAAATAAGTAATTTTTTCGCATTTAATCTAAATAAATGATAATTTATACTTATTATATTTGACAGATACGCTTCCTTACAGTTTTCGTAGGTTAATTCACATCCTTATGACTTATTAATTCGTCTATTTTAAGAAAGAAACGACGAAAAGCAAAGGGGGAGGATATGGCAACCATATGACAAATTGACTTTCTGGCAACACTTTACAATATTTTAAAATCATTTTATTAAAAATAACTTTCAATTACTTTTAAACAAATATAAAAATAATCCTAATTTTAAGAAAAAATTTTTAAAAATATATAATAATAAAAAATTTTAATGTTTCGGAAAAAGTTTACTATTTTTAAAATTTCGTGTCACGTGATTAGAAAATAGTAATTTCTGAATCACACGACACGTCGTATTTAATAAAATTGAAAAATAATTCGTTCTAGTAAATTAAGCAAATGAATGAAAAATTGTTTTATTTATTCCTTTAATTCTTTTAAGTCTACAAGTTTAATTATTTCTGTTTTGTGGATACTAATATGGCCGTTTTTTCCATGCCTTTCCAGGCCTGGTCGAAATGCAAGACAGCACGAAAAAGAGCTTGCTAACCAAATAAAATTGTTCTGTAAGAGATAAAATGGTTTGAAAAATATACCGAAACTTTTCTATTTTCATATATAATATTGTAGGAATTGTGCAGGATCCGGAGAGACTCTCACAAGAAGGAAACGCTACCATAAGAAATAGCCCAAAGGATAGTAACTCCCAAAAATTCCCAAAATATACTAAATTCAAAATTAAGACCAACGAATATTTATTTACATAAGTGACTGAACCCGTAACGCTTAAATAGGTAAATTTGATAGTGAGGAATTACACTTCTAAGTACTGTACAGTACATTAACATCGAAATCCGTGAGTAATATAAAATCGGAAAGCGGAATAAATATATTAAATATTTTAATGGATTTTTTTTAACTCCTGTCAACTATACAGAACTATCGTAAAAACATACCAGTAAATTCTTATCGGTTGGGTTAAGTTATAAATCTACTCGTTATTCACGTAATCGAAATATCTAGTGGGCAGGCGGCTAACAGCCCAGAACCGGTCCTTGATAGAATTGGAATCTTTATATGTGTGCAGCTTTCACCCAAGGTCGTAGGCTTCCACCGGCTAAACCGGGTGAGGTTGGTGCTCTGTAAAGCGCATGCGCAAATCTGGCTTTTCGTAATCTGAAAATACAGGAGATTACACTCCGCCACTAATATACAATAGCAATTTTTTCTTCGTTTTTTCCACGTGTAGTATAGAAATTTGTAATAAGATACATAATGCGGTTATAATAAAATATTGTGCGATTATTTTCATATAATTAAAATTAATATTTATTTATTTATTAGAGAATACGAGGGAAGCGGCGCTTCCAACGCTTCTAATGACGGCACGCCACTGATAAAAACAAAAAATCGCATCTAAAATAGTACAGTAGAAACTGTTCTTCCGGTTAAGCCTTAATGCTCTCCCTCTCCCCCCTACTCGGGAATTTCGAAAAATCCCTTCTTAGTGTGCGTTTTCATGACGTACCCTAACTGTGTACCAAATTTCACCTCTCTAGGTCCAGCGGTTTGCTCTGGGCGATGATGAATCAGTGAGTCAGTGAGTCAGTCAGTCAGTCAGGACAAGCAATTTTATATATATATATATAGATTTTACGAAAGCTTCGGAAGTTTGTATTGAGCCCATGCAGCTGGAGTTGGTAACCTTAGTTAATTACATGTTAGTATTATACTTTTTGTAATTACTGATTATTATTATTATTATTATTTTTAATCGTAAATGCAATCGTATAGAAGTCACTTCTGTTATTCTATATTATAATAACTGAAAAATATTGTTATATTTTAAACTTCAGTTTGTCATATGTTTATAAAGGGTCAGGATTATTAGCAATTGCAGCTGGAGGTTACGTAGAGTCATTTTGATACCAATATAAAAGTACGAAAACTGTTTTCTCTTTTTATCAATAAAAAGCTTATTATTTTATTAGGAGTCATTTAAATTACAGTGTGATTTTTATATTGTACTTGGAAAAATGTTTCTAAGACTAAACAATTCGTTTTGTCAGATTAGAATGTGCAGGTAAGGTGACACCATTTGTAATTCTAAACGTGAATATTGTTTTGAATCAAATTGGAAGTAACATTTCTTCTATTTTTCCCCCATAAATAGTAACTTTATACATAGCATATTTTTTGTTTAATATAAACAGAGGCTATAAAAATAAGTGTATAAATATTTTAGTTTTTTTAAAGGCAAACAAATAAATTTTACACTACAATATATTGACGGGTAAATAAATAATTTAGGAAGGCCTTTAGTTTAAAATTTACAAGATGGCACACATTTAGCCTGTTATCAGGGCCGGTTTTGAGGCGATTAGAGCGATATGCGCCAATCGAGCCCCGCGCTCGAAGGGGCCCCCAATGCATCAAAATTTATATAAATTTTGAAGTGTTGGGGCTCCTTTATGTTTATCTTATGCTTGTTTTTAAATATAAATTTTTTATATAAATTTATATTTAAAAATATCTGTTACAAAAATATCTAGGTATATTATTATTAAAAAATATAACAAAAAAATTTTTTTTTAGAAATTTCTTGTCGATCATATCGATTGAGAGGCAAGAAGCAATTCTCTGTATTCCATAACGTGCGACTAAATATCCAAATGGCACCAATCAATGATCAGCTGAATGGCGTCAACCCATCCACATAGGAAATGCCGGTCAATTATGTTTTGTGGTCGTCAGAACAAAGTCATGCCGTCCACATTTAATTATGAGCATTAAATACTTTTACGAAAAAAGCGTTGTCACTATATAAATAGTGAAATGCGGCTACTGTATAAAATTTATTCAAATAAAACGGACGACCATTGAAATTCGATCACTCATTTGCCCCCTGAACTGTCTGACTTAGTGGGATTTGTCATAACCAACTTCCTCCCTCCCTTTCAGTGCGGACTTCATTTGTGGACAGCGCTAATGAAGTACTCAATTAGAAATACATTCTGTAAAACATCATATTACTATTAAAGATATGTGATGGAAAAGAGTAGCTATTTTATGACAAGGAGATAAATTTTTATTATAATAAGCTATATCACAAATTTATGCAGTTTTAACAAAACACGTCTAAAGCGATAATTGCTTAACGACTTAATCAAGATAGACAATGCATACGAAATTTATTCTAATCGTTGGCAACTGACACCTCTGAAAAATATCTTAAAAATTAATTATATAATTCAAATTTTAGTTTAAAATTACTAAAAGTTTTAATTAATTTCATTATTAAGCTTTATCTACATTAATATTAATGGCATAATCGCCAGAGAACGTCTTTATCCATTTATTGCGGAGCCATAGTCTGAAATAAACGATCGTCTCCTTAACTGAAAATTGGTTTTGGAAGTCACTGGGGTTTGTAACGACGAAAAAAGAAGACAATTTTGTAGCTTCGTGTGAATTTTATTTATATATCTCAATGATTAATTTCAGTTGAGCCCATACACCTGTAGAAATTTTGAAATTTGACCAATACAGAAGAATTTTAATGCCATATAAAATAGTCGCTTGAGCACATTCTAAGAGCAACATTAAGTCTTCTCCATTGTTGTATATAACACAACTTTATTTTAATTAATCAACTGTTCGTTATTAGAATACGAAACATGATTTGGTAATGTAACAATCACATTTATTACATTTCTAATCAAGAAATAATGGAAACTCAATTTGAAATCTAGGAATTAAAAATTATTTAATTTTAATTTGTATAAAATTATAATTAGAAAAGAGTATTTGCGTTTTACATAATATTAAATTATGACATATATTATTCGAAAAGATACGCAGTTCGATAAAATTTAATATACTGTATTAAATTTCCACGAAAAACTTAATTTAAAGCATTATGACTTTATATTTATCATCACATTATTTTGCTCTCACTCACAAAATTGAAATTGTCTCTGTATAATGTTTTCCCAAAATATTAATATTACTGTTTAAATACGGCATTGAAATTCATAATTTAACTATGTATATCTATTTATAGATTCTTAAAGTTAACTTTATTTACTTATTTTTTCAATAATTTAATTACAGTAGTATAATTCAGAATTTAAATTTTAAAATAAATATATTAAATTCAAAGGTAAGTAAAACAGAATAAAATATCAATTTCTTCAGATTCTTCGTCATTAAATATGAATTTATTTCTTGCACTAATCGCTAAATGCATGAAACATGATATATTGACGTAAGTCAATGCAGAATTAGACTTAAATTTAATCGTATTGCTGTTTAATATTTAACGATTTTTGAAAATCTTATTCGTTACGTGTTACACAACAATTATTATTTCGTATTCTTAATTAATTATAAATATATTGAAATTGTAAATAATAATAATATGTTAGTTTATAATGGGTATTAATGCCTTAAAGGGGAAAAATATAAAGAAATATCAATCAGATTTAGATTGAAGACAACACTGATCAAATTATTCCTTTTTAAAATATATAAACTATTGCTATTAAAATATAAAATATATTAAAATTTATCGTATCTCTATGTCAATGATTTCAGATTATCATATATTTTAATAAATGTCTGTTCTTGATGAATTCGGACTATTATGTACTTTTCAAATAATGTTGTTGGATCTCATACCATCTCTGAACAATCAATGTCATTAACGATAATTGCCTGTTAATTATAAACATAATCACAATTGACACAATCCATTTATTAGCAATGGGATATCACAGTTTAAAAAATCGAGCAATCAAGAAGTTTGAGCCTAATGCTTATACTGAAATGAATTCTGGTCCTCGTTGTCTTCATCTAATGAGCAATAGTCACAACATTAAAGAAAAAACGTTCCGAAAAACGTTCAATAATGAAATATACAGTCCCTAAAATTCTAAACTGCGATTTACCTACACTGTCGACGATTCAGATTCGAATTCAAGCAAACAAGTTTAGCAATATTTGGGATGTTATCTGTACCGTTCTCTATCGGGTTCAATTTCTCCTTAACATGTTTACACTTATTGTGTGCATGGCTAAACTGATGGTCGACTTAATTAAAAACGACTGTGTAGTTACTGACAAAAAAAAAAGAAAAAAAGCCGTTATAATACTTATGTTTAATAATAATGTGTCTGGTTTCTGTATAAAATAAAGTAATTAAATTTTATTAGATATATTTATATATACACAATCAGTTCTTCTGTTCTGTGAACTGAGAAGATCTTTTTCCACTTCCAATATATCTATGACCGTTTGGATAAAACCACTGATCACTGTAGTCAGAATCGGATCTACATAGGGATTAATAGGGCTTTAGCCCTGATTCCCTATGCAGCCTTTAGCCCAAATAAGGAATAGCCCTTTAGCCCAAATATGGAATAGCCCTTTAGCCCAAATGTCAAGCGCTCACAAAACTTGATTTATTATCATAAAATTTTAATGCGTTTTTATTAATTCCATTAATTTTATAAATATAGCTAATATATTTCAACTCTGATTTTGATCTTATTTAAATGAATTTTAAACTCCAACTCAAAGATTCTTAATCTAACACACGTTGGACTTCAATAAGACCTAGAGTTCGAACAACTTAAATCTGTCTCTGACAGTAATGGTGGAAGGTTGACATTTGACCAAAGGCGGGCCAATTTAGTTTTCCAGTATTTTATCACTTATCTAACACCGAAATTTGTTTTTCATTGAAAATCCTATCTGAAAACGTTTCGTTTTGCAGATCGTCCTTTCATTATATTGCCTTATTCTATAAGTATCTAATGAGTTTGTGAATATACAGGCTACGAGAGGGGCGAAAAAATCTAACGTATCCGAAACAAACCACATATTAAATCTTTTTGAAAATTTACTTATCCGGATTCCATTCTTGGTCAATAGAGTAAAACGCTTAAGACTTCACCGTCTCGGCTATTATTTAAAGATATTTAAAACACAAAAGTAACGAATTGGTAAATGAGATATAAATATATAATTTATCAATTACGAAATTAAAATTTCATTACAATTTAGCATCAGTTGTGGTGGTTAATCGTAAATAGTTTGTGTTGAGTATTCAAAAATTTTTAGTGCTCAGATTCCGTGTGAAAACACAATATACTATATATTAATACATTCATTACATTGTCGTTGGATTATATAAACTGTAACTATGGCGAAGAACANAGTTGTGGTGGTTAATCGTAAATAGTTTGTGTTGAGTATTCAAAAATTTTTAGTGCTCAGATTCCGTGTGAAAACACAATATACTATATATTAATACATTCATTACATTGTCGTTGGATTATATAAACTGTAACTATGGCGAAGAACATATTGAAATTCAGGATTGGAATCGTTCAATCGATTGTAACATGAATATATTGCATTTTCGCCTGTGAGTTGTCGTTATAATCTTTTATTCTACGGACACACGTAACACCTTGACGTCAAATTTTAATAATATAAGTAACGCATAATTTAAGTTTTTAATTACATTTTTATAAAATTACGTAAGTGTTACGAAATAATGGAAAATTTTTTGGCAAGAATTGAAGCCGAAAAGGAGTATAGAAACACTATAAACACACATACAGAAATATGTTTGAAATGCGTTTTAACTCCGTTTACGTCTACATCAAAGGTTTACGGAATTACTTTTTTCATACCTTGTTCCTGCCACAACCGAAATGATGTTAACGTTCACCCAATTGTAACAAAATTTTATTCATCCTTTATCGAATGTTTCTACTGGATACATTTTGTTTTTGTGTTTTTAATGACAATACCGGTTTTGTCAGAGATGATTCCATGTCAATCGTTGTTTTTACTAGTCAAGAATGACGTTATTTTTTCGAAAATGCTTATTCTTAATTTAGCTTTAACTTTCGCACTCACTTTCAGTATTATGAAAAAAGTAAAATTAACCACAAATATTAAATTAATGAAGCCAGAATATTTCGGTCGAAAAGAATTGTACGACGTGATTAATTACACTAGAATTTTTGTTTTTGTTCAACTTGTAAATTTTACTATTTGTGGCCTAGCATACAACATTTTTTATATTTATCCTGCTGTAGAAAAACGAAAGACTTACGAGCACGAAGCACTTTTTTGCAGCGTAGAAATTGGCATTTACTTTAATTTAATTACGGGTGGAATATTGTATCTAATGTTTTTACTTTTTTTGCTTGTAATCATATTAATTAACATTTTCCAGAAGCTATCGGAAGATCTGCAACTACTAAAAATGTATCATCCTAATTTGGAAACGGAATTAGAAGTAATTATGACACAACACAATGCACTTTGGGACTATGTGAAACAATTTAATGGTCCATTTAATTATGTATTGACAATTTTGTACAGTTGTCTAATAGCGGGAACCAGTTTACTTTATTATGTTATGATGTTTTTGAAAATGGAATTTGCATTGAGAGTTTTCATTTGCATAATTATTTTTACAGTATCATTTATTTGTATTTCAGTAGGATTTTTACCATCCGCTTTTACATCTACTGTAATTTCTATATTGTATTAAATATGTTATTATATGATTTATTCATTTGTAACACGTTTTTCTTCTTTCTTTCAGATGCAAACATCGTTTCAGGACATTCGAAGATTCGCTGAATGCGATTTGAAATTGGAACAGAAATTAAAAGTAAAACTTCTGTTATAAAATAAGTTAGCATTACTTTTTATTTTGCATAAAATAAGTTTAAAAATTTTGTACAGATTGTGAATTTTATGAAAAGATTTGGGAAGGCATCTTTATGTTTATCTATCAACGGTTTCTTCGATGTTACCAAGAAGTTTCCAGTCAAGGTATGCAAGGTATATAGTCATTCAATATGTTATTGCATTATATATATAAATTTAAATTTGCAGATGTCCAGCACTCTCTATTCTGTGTTTTCGAATCTGTTAAATTTGAGGACCGTTTCCACGAAGAAATACTGCTCTTACTGAGATTTGAACTTAAGAATCTATTCTTTGAATTTAATTTCATCTCATAACGTTTCAATTAATAAATATAAATTAATTCATCTATATATGATTATTTAGATACACTGTTTTCGTTTCTTGACACATTATTGTCAAATTGTGATAGATTGCATTGTTAAAATTAGAATGAATGTTTAGAATAATATTTTATTTAAATTTTTATAAATTGCTTAAATAAATGTAAATGTAGTAGCGATTTTAATATTTTAAATAAAATTTCAATACTGCATATTGAAGTACGTAACAAATTTTATATTAAATTCTTTGAAGTATGTAGTAGTAATTTATAAAAGTAAAGATATTTACTTATTGCGATAACAACCGAAAGATAATATTAAGCATACGAAATAAGCGATCGAGATGTCGTCCATAAATTACGGCTGTTTCTTATACTTTGATACTGCTAACAACACCTGAAACGTTTCGAAAAGCTATAGGATATTGCTACCGACATCATCACTAAGCAGGGCTGCAATTTTTCGTCACAATGGCCGCAATTCTTACAGCTGCGTGTTTTCCCTCTACATCGTACTTTTCCTGTTAGCAAGAGATTCATGCCGGTTAGGTACTCTACGTAATTCCTTTTTGAGAAATTTGAATTGAAATATATAGTTAACCCGGGCCTTACGCGCATAAGCTTTTGATACATGGTTTCGACGTGTATCGTTCTAACTCGTTTCTCGAAATTAAAAAAGAATAGAAAGCCAAGAGACAGTGGAATTTATAAGCTACAGTTTTTTATATTGCGAGAATTTGTAAATTTTTTATACACGCGATATTTGAGAGAACATATTGCCATATATTTGATACAATCTGTTGCAAAAACATAAACACTTTGTTATTACATAAAAGCAATTGTTCTTTTATTATTACAAGATTTTTTGTATTTAAACAAGTCGTACGAAGTCTTTCGTACGTTAAAGTTAGCAACTTTGATCACTTGCATGGCTATCACAATCTGAATGACCAGGATAACTTTATAGATATTATTAGTAGACCGGAATGAAATTTTGAAATTTGACCAATTACAGGAATATTTTGAAACCGTATAAAGTAGGCACTAGAGCAGGGGTGTCCATCCCGCGGCCCAAGGCAAGTTCGAATGCTGCCCAATAAACGTGTACACAAAACTGACAATTATTTATTATTTATTTATTTATTTCAACGGTATAAACTCAAAAAAGAAGTTTTACAAAGCTGTAAACCATTATACATATTTTATTTTTTAGTGGAAAAGAAATATTTTCAAAAAAAAATGTGTGAATTAGAAAGGTATACTAAATACAGCTAAAGTTGGCTCTCAAAGGAGACCCAAATGAGGAAAAAAAAAGATAGAACTAAAGATTAAAAAGTAATGAGATATGTTAAATAGACCTTCTGTTATGCAAATATGGACCCTTAATTTTTCAACCTTTTTCACATCTTTATCTTTTGTCCTTTCTCTCCTTTCTGCTCATTTGGATCTATAATCTTTTGAGTCTCAACTCCAGATTTATTTAGTATTTCTTCCAGCGTTGCAAGATTTTACTATTTTGCGCCAAATTTGGCTACCTTTTATTAGTTTGATGTAAAAAATATCAGTTGGCGCATTGGTTACTTTTTAGGCTATATATTATTTATAAATATATAAAGTGAATAAAAATGCACTTTAAAATGGTGTTTCATCGTTTCTATTAATTACAGACCCAAATAAAACAAATATTTGTGTTTTTCAAATAAATTTTCTTTAGTCTCTTTTATAATAAATAAATTTATCTATTTCTAAATAAAAATCGAAAGTATCTGTAGAAGTAATTTTTTAAAATATTTTTTTTTTGTGGTAAACTTTTAATACTTATTACTATAATCTAAACGTGTTAATCCTTAAATATACTTATATATTTAAGGATTGGGCCAAAATATACTTGTGGCCCAAAACTCCATGACTTCTTCCAATGTGGCTCAGAGAAACAAAAAGGTTGAACACCCCTAGTCTACATGTAACCCTTTGCAAAGTATAGTCTCCAATTGCTTGTAAAACACATGATAAGCTTAACAGAATGGGCAGCGTGATTCTGATTGCCTCCGGGAAGTAGTCTGTGTAATGGCATTTGTTGTGTTTTATGATCTCATGNCTCTTTTTCACACAACAGACTCAGATAAACTTCGCTTAGCTTATCATAACTGGGTCAATACACAATATTGAGTCAGATTGCCAAGTGTTTTAATAATAACACAGTCTTGTGTTCAATAGTTAATAAATACGAAAACACGGTTTCAAAAAACAAATCAACTGATATTGATGTTATTAAATTTTAAACCCCAATTTAAACATTTTTAATCTAACAAAATTAAGGGCTCCGTTGGACTTCAATAAGCCTTAGGCCCCGAACAACTTAAATCCGTCTCTGACTATAGCTGGTGAAATGTTGACGTTTGACCAAGGGCTAACAAATTTACTTTTCTAGTATTTTTTCACTTGTCTAATACCGAAACTTGTTTTTCATTAAAAATCCTCTCCGAAAAAGTTATTTCATTATATTCCGTTACTCTATCATCCAAACAAACCATATATTATATCTTCCTGACGATTACTGGTCGAGATCTTATTCTGGGTCCATAGAGTAAAAGGCTGAAAACTTCACTCGACTATCATTAAAATATATTTAAAACACAAAACTAACGAATTCGAAAATGAGACATAATTATCGTCAATGACAAATACAGTAATGACATCAACTACAAAATTAAAATTTCATTATAATTTAATATCAGTTGTAGTGGTTAAAACTAAATAAATTTTGCTCAGTATTCTAAAATTTTTGATGCTCAGATTCCGTGTGAAAACACAATATACTATGTATTAATATATTCATTGCATTGTCGCTTTATTATATAAACGTAACGACGAACAAATCAAAATTTAAGTTTGGAATATACAATCGTTCAATCGATCGTAACACGAGAATATTGCATTTTCAGCTGTGAGTGTCTTTATAATTTTTTTAAAGACACACGTAACACCATACGTTAGATCTTAACAATCTAAGGAACGTTGAATTAAAATTTCTAATTACTTTTCTATGAAATTACCTAAGTGTAACGAAATAATGGAAAATTTTTTGGCAAGAATTGAAGCCCAAAAAGAGTATAGAAGAAAAAGAGACAATATAAACGCACATACAGAGATATGTTTGAAATGCGTTTTATCTTCGTTTACGTCTATAGCAAGAGTTTACGGATATACGTTTTTCGATCCTTGTTTCTGCCACAACAAAAATGATGTTAACGTTCACTCAATTGTAACAACATTTTATTCATCCTTTATCGAATGTTTCTACTGGATACATTTTCTTATGGTGTTTTCCATGACAATACCGGTTTTGTCAGAGATGATAAATGCATGAAACATGATATATTGACGTAAGTCAATAAAGAATTAGATTTAAATTTAATCGTATTGCTCTTTAATATTTAACGATTTTACATAATCTTGTACATTACACTTATATGATTTCTGATTATCATATTTTAATAAATTTCTGTTCTTGATAAATTCGGACTATTATGTACTATTGAAATAATGTCGTTATATCTCATGCCAGCTCTGACCGATTAATCTCATTAACGATAATTGTCTGTTAATTATAAACATAATCACAATTGACACAATCCATTTATAAGCAATGCGATAGCCCAGTTTAATAAATCTTTCAATCAAGAGGTTTGAGCCTAATACTTATATTGAAATGAATTCTGGTCGTCGTTGTCTTCATCTAATAAGCAAAGGTCACAACATTAAAGATAAACGTTCTGACAGACGAACTCTCTCGGATATAACTTCAATAACGAAAGAAGTTCCGAAATAACGATTATATTTCAATAACGTTCAATAACGAAAGAAGATTCTAAACTGCGATATAACTACACTGTCGACGATCCGAATTCGAATTCAAGCAAACAAATCTAATAATATTTGAAATTTATGCTTCTAACACAATAAAGTGCTATAAATTAAGACACTTGGCAGATTTTCTCATCTTTATTTAGCCGATACAAAGAAAAGAAAAAAGCCGTTAAAATACTTATGTTTAATAATAATGAGAAAAACTGAGAAGGTCTTTTTCCACACCCAATATATCGGTGACTGATTGGGTAGAAGTACAGATCACTGTAGTCAGGGGCAAAATTACATAGGGGCTAATAGGGCTTTAGCCCTGACACCCCAAATATAAGCGCCCACGATACTTGATTTATTATCATAAAATTTTAATACATTTTTATTAATTCTATTAATTTCATAAATACTGATATTGATGTTATTGACTTTTAAACCCCAATTTAAACATTTTTAATCTAACAAAATTAAGGGCCCCGTTAAACTTCAATAAGCCTTAGGCCCCGAACAACTTAAATCCGTCTCTGACTATAGCTGGTAAAATGTTGACGTGTGACCAAGGGCTGACAAATTTACTTTTCCAGTATTTTTTCACTTGTCTAATACCGAAACTTGTTTTTCATTGAAAATCCTCTCTGAGAAAGTTTTTTCATTATATTCCGTTATTATATTATCCAAACAAACTATATAGTGTATTATATCTTCCTGACAATTTACTTGTCCAGATTTTATTCTGGGTCCATACAGTAAAAAACTGAAGACTTCAACGTCTTGACTATTATTAAAATATATTTAAAACACAAAACTAACGAATTCGAAAATGAGACATAATTATCAATAACAAGTACTGTACAGTATTGACATCAATTACTAAATTAAAATTTCATTATAACTTAATACCATTTGTAGTGGTTAAACATAAATAGATTTTCCTCAGTATTTTAAAATTTTTGATGCTCAGATTCCGTGTGAAAACACAATATACTATGTATTAATATATTCATTGCATTGTCGCTTTATTATATAAACGGTAACGACGAACGAATCAAAATTTAGGTTTTGAATATACAATCGTTCAATCGATCGTAACACGAGAATATTGCATTTTCAGCTGTGAGTGTCTTTATAATTTTTTTTAAAGAGACACGTAACACCATACGTTAGATCTTAACAATTTAAGGAACGTTGAATTAAAATTTCTAATTACTTTTCTATGAAATTAGCTAAGTGTAACGAAATAATGGAAAATT